AACCACCACAATATTGTAAGTAATTATCCTCCAATTAAATAAAGTAATTAATTAAGAAAAAGAAGAATACAGGGTGTGCAATTAGACAGACTTAGTCCCAGTCTTGACTCCAGCCAGCTCTGTGACCTTGAATAGCCATATAACTCTTCCATAGGGTTGTGAGATTTGAATGAGATAATCTTCGTGTGACCATTAGCATGGTTCCCAATACATATCTGACATTTATTATAATATTTTCTTATCACAGCCTACTATTCTTCCAACTCTTCTCTTTTCTTATGCTCACTGTATTCATACTTTAATAAAGATTGCATTCCGAAAACCCTCCATTTTCTGCATCATCCTCCTTGGGACTCCCTATTCTTTCACATTTATTCTCTGTCCTTTATTGTATCACCTCCAGTGTCCTCACTGTGTTCGTTTTCTGTGCTGCATAACAAATTACCAGCAACTTAGTGACTCAAAGAATACCCCTTTACTGGCTCACAGTTCTCTTGACTTCTGTAATCAAGACTCTGTGTGTTGACAGAACAGTACACAAATAAATCATCGTAAGAGAATAGAGAACCCAGCAATAGACCCACTCTAATAGCAGCACGCTCAACTGATTCTTTAAAAAGTATGAAATCAATTCAATGGAGGAAGAAAAGCTTTTCATCAAAATTAAAACTTTTGTTCTGTAAAACACCCTATTAATAAGATGAAAATATAAGCCGCGCACTGGGAGAAAGTATTTGCAAATCACATATCTGAAAAAGGCAGAGCTCAGCTGGGTGCCCTGCTCGGTGTCTGAGAAGGCTGAAGTCGCAGCATGCATCAGCTGTGTTGTCATTTAGAGGCTTTTGTAAAAGGAATCCACTTCCAAGTTCTTGAAGGTTGTTGGCAGAATGCAGTTCCCTGCGGTTGTACTACTGAAGTCCTGATTTTCTTGCTGACGACACGTCAGCCAGTGATCTCTCTCAGTTCCTAGAGTCTCCTTTCAGGTCCTGAGAACATGATCCTTAGACTACAAAGCCAGCTATAGAGAATCTTCTTCACATTGAAACTCTCATATTTTGGATCGTTCACCAGGAAGAGTTCAGTCCCTTCAAAGAATCAGCCGCTAAGCTTAAGCCCACCAAGAATGAGCTCCCTTCCTTAAAGCCAGTTGTTCCATAAAACACACCCTAATTATAGCACTGACTATCTCATCATATGCATGGGTCCTTTCTACACTCAAAGAGAGCAAGTTGTACAAGGGTATGGATCGCTGGAAGTCCTCTTAGAATTCTGCCTGCCATCCTGCTCCATAAACTCCTAACCTTGGATGAATCAGTCCATCTACCCACCACCATAGCTCCTCTGCTGAGCACTGCTGAATAAAATCACAAAATTATATGATTTGTTGCTACACAGATATATATTAATAATCTTGAACAGTAGATCTTTCAGCAGTGCTTTCGTATGACCTTCCATAACAACACTTTCTGTTTCTGTTGTCCCAAAAATGTTATCCTATGTCTTGTCACCAAGTCCCTGTAATAAACTGCCCACATCCTCTCCCCCGCCCCAAGAACTTGACTTTGTCTTCAGCTTTCCAAAGTAAGGCTATTAGTCCACAAATTTGGATGAACTTATCCGAATCAGGTGGCCAGAGTATTGGAGCTTCAGCTTCAGCATCAGTCCTTCCAATGAAGAGAAGTCGACTCATTGGAAGAGACCCTAATGCTGGGAAAGACTGAAGACAGAAGGAGAAGAGGGCAGCAGTGGATGAGATGGTTAGATAGCATCACTGACTCAATGGTCATGAGTGTGAACAAACTCCAAGAGACAGTGAAGGACAAGGAAGCCTGACGTACTGCAGTCCATGGAGTTTGCAAAGAGTCAGATATGAGTTAGCTACTGAACAACAGCAATAATCCAAATATATCTTCTTCAGCTCTCCTTTTTCTTAGTATTAGAGGAAAAGAGCTTTCCTCTGTCCAGGGCTGATTCCAGCATCTGTGTTTTTTGATTGGAAGAAGTTTGGTGTTTTTTTTTTTCCAATAGCTTCTTTTATATACTACATTTTTAAACCTCTTCTTTCCATTTCTTTCTGATCTCTCTCATATTTTGAAAGCCTAACTTCTAGACAGAGTGAATTATCCTATGCCCACTTCACTTCTTCACATCCCATTTCTTTTACACCCACTTATAACACTATAATTCTGGAGAAGGCAATGGCAACCCACTCCAGTATTTTTGCCTGGAAACTCCCATGGATGGAGGGGCCTGGTAGGCTGCAGTCCATGGGGTCGCTACAAGTCGGACACGACTGAGCGACTTCACTTTCACCTTTCACTTTCATGCATTGGAGAAGGAAATGGCAACCCACTCCAGTGTTCTTGCCTGGAGAATCCCAGGGATGGGGGAGCCTGGTGGGCTGCCGTCTGTGGGATTGCAAAGAGTCAGACATGGCTAAAGCGACTTAGCAGCAGCAGCAGCAGCATAACACTATAATTCAGATTCTTTCTACAGCACTTCCTGGAAACTTTCTTGGGAAAGATCACCAGTACATAGAAAAACTAGCAAAGGAAGAAAAACAGGTTAACTCTCAACTGTTGGAGAGCAAAAAGAAAAATTCAGCTGCCGAAAGTGTTCATGTAGTCATAATATCTGTACTCACTATTGACTAATCAAACATGGTGTTTATAACTTGAAATAGTGTGTTGGGAGCTATGAAAGAGCTAAACTTACAGTAAATAGAAAGTCACTTATTAATGTCTAAAATTAATCACAAAATGCTAGTATAACCATATTCTGTAGAAACACATCATTAAATACCAAAAGAAAATGCAGAAAGAGTTGACAGTGGTTTCTCTAAACAGAGTTTAGGGGGTCAGGTCTGTTTTTCAGACTTTTTTGTTTCATTTAGCTTCATGTATACATTTGATTTTTTAAAACATTTTTCTTTAAAGGAGAAGGCACAATCCAAGCAGAGAGGAAATTTATCAGGCAAGTTTTCGGGGAACTGAACTAAATGATTAGTTTCTAGTTGCTGATTAATACACACGTCATTTACAAATACCAATAAGTGTCGATTCCCACAACAAAAGTGTACTCTGACCTGCCAAAGAGCATCAGTGTCTCTGAGCCTGAGAAATGTTCAGGTAAGAGCATAGCCACATCCTACTAATGTCGAGGCTGTTTATTCCCAGGTTTTAATACCACAGAGGCCAGAGAGCACATAGCAGTGTTGGAGGGAACCAGGAAATGTGCTCATTCAGTGTAAGCCCCTTCGTCCTTGTGGCATGGTACGCTGAGCACCTTGGGCAAATAAACTAACATCTCTGCCTCAGTCATTCCTGCACCTGGAACATGAGCAAAACCTCATAAGGTTTTTCTGAGGATAGAAAATAACACATACATGTCATGTGTCTGTAAAGAGTGTGTGGCACACTCATGTGTTCAATACGATGATTCATGAAAAAATAAATAGCATTAATAATAATGTTGGGGGCTTCCATGGTGGCTCAGATGGTGAAGAATCTGCCTGCAGTGCAGGAGACCCAGGATCAATCCCTGGGTCAGGAAGATCCCCTGGAGAAGGGACAGCAACCCACTCCAGTTTTCTTGCCTGGAGGATCCCATGGACAGAGAAGCCTGGTGGGTTACAGTCCATGGGGTCTCAAAGAGTCAGACACAACTAAGCAACTAACACACACACACACACATAATAATAATGTTAATACTATTCCCTCTATCTGTGGGGTTTTACTGGTTTATTTCAGCTTCCCAGGTGGCACTAGTGGTTAAGAACCCACCTGCCAATGCAGGAGACTTGAGAGATGCAGGTTCAAGCCCTGGGTCGGTAAGATCCCCTGTAGGAGGGCACGGCAGCCCACTCCAGTATACTTTTCCTAGAGAATCCTATGGACAGGGGAACCTGGCGGGCTGCGGTCCATAAGGTCACAGAGATTCAGACACGACAAGTGACTTAGCATATACACATGCACACTGGTTTATTTCCCACATTCTCTCTCTCAATTTCCTTGATATTTTTAGTTTAGTTTCTAAGCAGAATACTGGGCTTCCCCTGTGGCTCAGCTGGTGAAGAATCCGCCTGCAGTGCAGGAGACCTGGGTTGATCCCTGGGTTCGATCCCTGGGTTGGGAAGATACCCTGGAGAAGGGAAAGGCTACCCACTCTAGTATGCTGGCCTGGAGAATTCCACGGACTGTATATAGTCCATGGGGTTGCAGAGAGTCGGACACGACTGAGTGACTTTCACTTTCACAAGCAGAATACTGGTCAGAGGACTGAGCACACAACTTATGATAACTCGTTTTTCAACAGGAATACCTTTTCAGGTATCATCAGATGCATTAAAAGTCCAAGTTGCCTCTAGAACAATATAGGATAAGTGAGGCAGGGCGAGGCATAGTGTAAGACCAGAACGCTTCAGCTGTGCCATGACTTCCGTATTTTCAGTGTTGTTGGATTTGCTGTGAACCAGAACCCAGGTGTTATAACTATGGAAGGAATGGGTTCAAGGCGCCTTCAGCTGATGCTTTAGAATTCACATCAAGGGCTTTGTGTGATTGTTCCTGGAGGCATAGGCAGAGAATATAATGTCCTTGTATTTTTACTGTTTTTTTAAAACTCCAACAATCAAAAGGTCATCGTTTGTTGTAATGATGCTATAATTAAGTTGTGGTAAACGATAGCATTTGTAGATTTTCTCACCAGAATTGATTCATAAAATGAATACAGTCACAGCAGTTTATGTTAACGTAATTAAATGGAAATGTAATTCTGAGTTTGCTTATTTAATTGAAAATTACTGGGTTATGAGCACTCTTACATTTCTATCAAAATTGGTGTAAACCTAGAATTACATGAACTATCCGTTCAGATGCAGCGTATGTAAGGTTCTGTTGCTAGGTGGCAAATATGTTTCCTGCAGCACATGCAGACTGATCACGCGAGAGCACGTGCTTTTCGTGAGTTTCCTGCTAACTGCTTCTCTCTTTCTTCTGCAGCCATTGGTTTAGCCCTGGGGCTAGGACAGAGCATGGCCAGGTAAGGAACATTCTAACCCAAAAGGAAGCTACTCAGTCTTTGGAATATTTAACTATTGCCCTTCAAGATAGTAGATCAACTTTATGAGAAAGGATAACATCCTAGCTTATTTATAAAGGAGTTGTGCCGGTGCTAATACACTGACCAAGTGAATGATCATCAGGAAGCATTGGAGTTGTTTACCTCACCTCTCCCTTCGTCAGCACACAGGTCACCTCCGTGGAAAGGATCTAGAGTTCACTTTAGAGATTATAGGACTTCCTCATTTCCATATGCTTTTCACAAAGGCACGAAAATAGTACATATGCTTTAAGCAATTGTTTTATTATTAAACTAGATTAGCCAGCAAGAGAATATTTTTATTTTTGAAGTTTAGAAGATGATAAGAGTTTCTTGCACTTTATATTGTATTCTAGGTGAGATTTTTCTTTTTTTAATTTCTTGCTAGTTTCATGGCAGCACAATGATTAGATGACTTAGCAAGAACTTAACATTCATTTTGATTAACTTTACATATAAAATAAGTTGTCTGTTTTCTTTGTCTGTTGAATGTGCTAGTTCTCTCTCTGCAGTGTGGTAAGGTAATTTAGGGCTTAAAATATTGATAGGTTTTAAAGCATATATGTTTTAGGCTTTGCATTCTTGCTAAGCCTTTTTTCTTTTTTTCAGTGTGGATTATATGAGTTATTTTTTGAATGAGTCAATAATATATGCATAGAAAAGTCTCAAATTCTTAGGGATCATTTCTTCTGAGGGATATGTAGGTAGATAGGTAGAAGAGGAGATTGCCCTTGGTAATGGTAACTGGTACATTACTATATGTATTGGTGATGCCTTATTTCTTAAGTTGGTCAACAGGTTTTAGAGTTGGTTGCACATGCCATATTTCTTTTTTTGTATAAAAGGAAAGTGCCACATACTTCATTATAAACTGTAATGTATTTCTTAATACCCATGTACCTAATCAAAGAAAAATATGTCAGTGCAGATTTAATGATTTTTTTAATAAACTTGGCTCTTTTCCTTGAGAGTGATGTGCACTTTTAAATATATTTCTCACATTAATAATAGAATATGTACTACTATTTCTGGACTTTACTGGTGACTCAGTGATAAGGAATCTGCCTGCCAATGCAAGAGACGCAGGTTCAATTCCTAGGTCAGAAAGATCCCCTGGAGAAGAAAATGGCACCCACTCCAGTACTCTTGCCTGGGAAATCATGTGGACAGAGGGGCCTGGTGGGCTATAGTCCATCAGGTCTCAAGGAGTTAGACATGACTTAGTGACGAAATAACAACAACCAATACATGTTTCTAAAGTTTTGCAAGTTAACTTGACTAAGTTGCTTCTGGGGTATGTCTATTCAGAATGTAATTATTGCATAATTATGTCAATTATTCAGCATTCCCAAATGGTTCATACCCTCTATGTTTATATAAGATTCTGCTTCCAGTAGTAAGTTACATCAGGATATAGTTTATCCCCAAATAAGATTTTTTAAATGAATAATTTTATATTCTCTGTTGTTCTCTAGTCACTAAGTCATGACCACTCTTTGCAATCCCATGGACTGCAGCATGACAAGTTTCCCTGTCCTTCACTATCTCCAGGAGTTTACTCAAACTCATGTCCACTGAGTCAGTGATGCCATCCAACCATTTCATCCTCTGTTGCCCACTTATACTCATGCCATCAGTCTTTCCCAGCATCAGGGTCTTTTCCAGTGAGTCAGCTCTTTGCATCAGGTGGCCAAAATGCTGGAGCTTCAGCACCAGTATTTCCAATTAGTATTCAGGCAGATTTCTTTTAGGATTGGCTGGTTTGATCTTCTTGCTGTCCAAGGGACTCTCAAGAGTCTTCTCCAGCATCACAATTGAAAATGAAAGAAAGAATCAGTTCGGCATTCAGCCTTCTTTATGGTCCAACTCTTACGTCCATACGTGACTAGGGGAAAATCCATAACTTTGACTATACAGACCTTTGTCAGTGACGTGATATCTCTGCTTTTTAGTACACTTTTTCATGTAGATTTATCATGGCTTTTTTTCAAGGAGCATTTCATGGTTGCAGTCACCATCTGCAGTGATTTTGGAGCCCAAGAAAATAAAATCTGTCACTATCCAATTTTTCCCCATCTATTTGCCATGAAGTAATGGGACCAGATGCCATGATCTTTGTTTTTTGAATGTTGAGTTTTAAGCCAGCTTTGTCACTCTCCTCTTTTACCTTCATTAAGAGGCTCTTTAGTTCCTCTTTGCCTTCTGCCAAAGTATCTACTTAGAGTAGTATCATCTTCGTATCTTAGGTTGTTGGTATTTCTCCTGGCAATCTTGATTCTGGCTTGTGATTTATCCAGCCCAACATTTCACATGATGTACTCGGCATATAAGGTAAACAAGCAGGGTGACAATATATAGTATTAACGTACTCCTTTCTCATGCAGTGATTTTGGAGCCCAAGAAAATAAAGTCTGTCAGTGTTGCCACTATTTCCCCATCTATTTGCCATGAAGTGATGGGACCAGATGCCATGATCTTAGTTTTTTTAATGTTGTTTTAAGCCAACTTTTTCACTCTCCTCTTTCACTTTCATCAAGAGGCTCTTTAGTTCTTCTTCACTTTCTTCCATGAGGGTGGTGTCATCTGCATATCTGAGGATGCTGCTATTTCTCCCAGCAATCTTGATTCCAGCTTGTGCTTCATCTAGCCTGATATTTTGCATGATGTATTCGGCTTATAGGTTAAATAAGCAGGGTGACAATATACAGCCCTGCCATACTTCTTTCCTGATTTGGAACATCTGGTGTTCCATGTCCAGTTCTAACTGTTGCTTCTTGACCTCCATACAAATTTCTCAGGAGGCAGGTAAGGTGGTCTGGTATTCCCAACTCTTGAAGAATTTTCCATAGTTTATTGTGATCCGCACGATCCAAGGCTTTTAGTCAATGAAGTAGATGTTTTTCTAGAATTCTTTTGCTTTTTCTATGATCCAGTGGATGTTGGCAATTTGATCTCTGATTTCCTCTGCCTTTTCTAAATCCAGTTTGTACATCTGCAAGTTCTTGGTTCATGTACTATTGAATCCTAGTTTGAAAGATTTTGAACATTACCTTGCTATCATCTGAAATGAGCGCAGTTGTGTGGTAGTTTGAACATTCTTTGGGATTGGAATGAAAACGGACCTTTTCCTGTCTTGTGGCCACTGCTGAGTTTTCCAAATTTGCTGGCATATTGAGTGCAGCACTTTCACAGCATCATCTTTTAGGATTTTTAAATAACTTGACTGGAATTCTGTCACCTCCAGTAGCTTGGTTCATAGTAATGCTTTCCAAGGCCCACTTGACTTCACACTCCAGGATGTCTGGATCTAGGTGAGTGACCACACCATCGTGGTTATTCGGGACATTAAGACCTTTTTTGTGTAGTTCTGCATATTCTTGCCACTTCTTCTTAATTGCTACTGCTTCTGTTAGGTCTTTGCCGTTTCTGTCGTTTATTGTGCTCATCTGTGCATGAAATGTTCCCTTGAAATCTCCACTTTTCTTGAAGAGATCTCTAGTCCTTCCCAAACTGTTGTTTTCCCCTCTTTCTCTGAACTGTTCACTCAGGAAGGCTTTCTCAACTCTCTTTGGCATTCTCTGGAACCCTGCATCCATTTGGGTCTATCTTTCCCTTTCTCCTTTGCTTCCACTTCTCTTATTAACTATTTGTAAGGCTTCCTCAGACAACCACTTTGCTTTCTATTTATGTTTCTTGGGATGGCTTTGGTCTAGAATTTGAGAAGTACTAAAGTGATCTTATAAATCTGAGCTTTAGATTATAATTTAACTGCAGTTAAAACTTTTTTCTGTATTTAAAAATTAGCAAATAGCTACTATGATATAGACAAGAAAGTTGATGCATCATTTTTAAAATTTTTTAAATATTTGAAACAGATTTTTGGATTAGCCTTTGGCTTAAGCTCTGATATACCATTTCAGATTTTAATCCTGTCTAGATAGGTTATTAATTAAGGAACACAGTTGATTCTTGTGTTTTGTAGTAGCTATAGTCTATGACGTTGGTAAGAACTCTAAAGTAGCAAATACTGAAAAAACTGCTTCCAGGAAAAATACAGGGTTAGGTTCCTGAGAACCTCTGGCCACATTTTCACTAACAGATCAATACATATCCTTGTTCAATGTGTATTTCTGTTTAAAGACACCATATTTAATACATATTATTGATTTGTTAGCATTGAACTCATGGCCAAAAGCACTGTAACTTATGCCTGAAGGGAGCTTGTCTAATGAACATATTTTCTCTATAAGGTCCATCACAATTCTCTTACACTGGGGAAGACTATACTGCAGGTCAGCCCTGTACTAGAAGGCTATTTTAAACAATGAAGATAAAAACAAGAAGACAAAATGCAAAACAAACAAATAAACAAATAAGGTAGCACTGAATGGACCAGGCAAAAGACTCTTGTTTACAGTATGAGAGCCGAAGCGAGAAGATAGATGGCGTCTTCTCCGACCTCAGCTGAGAACATGCAGTAACGGGAACTCAGATTTCTCCCATTCTGTGCGTGTCTGCCAATGACTCCAAAGCACCAGAAGTACTGATTTGGACATTACAAGTACATTTAGCAAGTGGATGAATTTGTGAATACAGAATCGATGAATAATGAGAAACAGTTTGCACATGTATGTGTCTGTATAAAAGCACATACAAACTACTCATGTTTTGAGGGATTTAAATGTCTTATTTCAACTTATAACTAGCCCAGTGAAAGTTAGTCGCTCAGTCGTGTCCAACTATTTGTGACCCCATGGACTGTAGCCCACCAGACTCTGTCCATGTGGATTCTCCAGGCAAGAATACTGCAGTGGGGTGCCATTTCCTTCTCCAGAGAATGTTTCCAACCAAGGGTTCAAACCTAAGTCTCCTGCATTGCAGCAGATTCTTTACCATCTAAGCCACCAGGGAATCCCAGTGAACTACTGGCTAAATCTTAGGTCCAAGTGATAAAATGCAAGACCATGGAGAAATGAAATCCTTCAATATATTGTTGAATGAATGACTATCAGCATGCATGATCACCCCTTTTTTTTCCCATATCAACTTACCAAGATAAAGAAATGATAATATTAACCTCACTTTTGAAATCCCACCCCTCACTGCTTTCCCACATCTTATGATGCCTTTTTGTTCTCTAATGCAAAGTCCCATTTCATTTACACCATGCTCACTTAATATTTCTTTTTTACGCATTTAGTGAATCACTATTCTCCATCAGTCATTACCTATCAAGTACTCTTTATTTTTTCAGTCATTACCTATCAAGTACTCTTTATTTTTACAAAAAAAGGTATTTGTTTTTAAAAAAAACAAAAACATAACTTTTCCTCTAAGCTGGTTAAAATCTGGGGTAGGAAAGCAGTAATCATAGTACCACTCAGAGGGTATCATGGAGACCACAGAAGCGACATGTGAAAGTTGGTTTAAAGTGGAAGTAAGGAGACAGAAGCAGCTACAAGCAGCCTCATTTGTGTGTGTGTATGTGTGTTTTAATGGTGAGGGGTTTCCTCCTTGAATATCTAATAGTATGACATTTTGAATGAGTTTACTAGTATCTTAATGAGCCATAGGTATTGTTTAGAGACTTTTAGTTCTCCTCTTAAGGTGAGGACCCTGTGAAAGGCCAAGTGTGGAGAGACTTGAAATTCTTTTGTAGACATTTGAGAAGGTCCCTGAAAAGTGGCTGCTAACAAACAGTCTTGAGCTTGAATCCCTTCTGAATATTAGGTGGCAAAGAGATAATTGCTGTGGAGCAGGAATTCTGCTCTTTGCTTCCTTCTTCCTCTTGTGTTAGGAATGTGAAGCTTTTAATAATCTTTTTAAAATAATCACGAATAGCCACAGAAACCCTCAGCTCCCTTTCTGCCACAGGAGCAACCATGATATACATGGAACATTTCTCTTCCTTGTTTTCATTCAGCAGTTTTTAAAACGGTGTACCTTTTGTAAGACCTCACATTGTACTAGGTTTTGTGTTTATGAATGTCTCTGTCATTCTTACGCGAGTCATTTTTTAATATACATCTGCAGGTCACTAATAAGGGACTTGTCTCTCCGCTTGGCCTAAGTCCAGCAATCTGAGAGCTGGAGGTAAGAAGCACTTCGCACCATATTCAGAAGTTTGTTATTAACTGGAGTTGACATTGTTGAGTCAGAACCCTGAACACTGACCTCACTTGTGACACTGATAGGAGTCCAAGGAAGACAGGAAACGTTAGCAGTAAGAGGAATGAAGACTCTCCCCAAACCTGAGGAGCTCCTCTTGCTTGTCAGAGCAGAGTTCTGGGCCTCTTGGGTCTTATCATCAATTCCTGATCTGATTCCCCCCTCCCCCTCCCTCACCCTCTGCCTCCTTTTTTTTTTTTGCTTGTTTGTTTGTTCTTTGGGACAGAGCAGACACATTTTGGGAATCTTTCAAATATAAATACATGTTTTCTATTCAAATAACACTCTGGATTAATTTTTTCAGCTTTGCCCCCTTATAAGATCTAGGTTCCCATATTAACTTGCTGAATTCATGACCCAGAGATCTGAGCCTGTATTTTTTACTCTGAGCTTCATTTTATGTGATGACTTTTTAATATAGGTGAATTATATTAAATAATTCCAATATTTGTCCCTACAAAGCCCATCAAAACTATACATTTGAGGAAGAAATTCTCATGTGACTCTAAGAGAAGGATCTCTGACCTCAGAGTTCCATACGTAGCCTAACAATTTACTTTGATCATTGTAGTTGCATTTTTTTTTTAATTAAATTGTTGAATTCCTTCATTTCAGAAAAGTATGTTTGGGACCTTTTGTGTTCTTTCTTTAAACTGTTTTAACACAAATAACAGGAATAGTGTTCCCATATCTATCTTTTATCTAAAAAATTAGAAACCTTAGTTAACTACTACTATTAATTGAAGGCGGTGGTAGAGATTTTATCATGTCACCTCTAGCTATCTGTGTCACAAATGTTGGTTTGAATATGTTTTTTTAAAAAGGCACTAGAATTAGAAATGCCAAAGTAATTAATTTTCTTTTTTTTATTTTCAGAAGCAATTTAGTTTTCATGGTACGAAGTGTTTCTACATTGAAACACTTTCAGATTAATGGACTTAAGATAAACTGTTGCTATTTTCTATAAGTAGTAATAATGAGATACTGTTTCAGCTACATATCAGATACTAGATTTCATTGCCTGTTTCTTTATCTCATTCATTCATTCATTCAACAAATATTTATTAAACACTACAAATGTCCCAGACACTGTGCTGGACTTTGGAGACGCAGACAGATTGAATGACTGAAGCAAAGGGCCAAAAGTGAGCTAGAATATGGTATACATTCCAAACTAAAAAGTTCAGAATGGCTGGGATATATTATTTAGAAGTAAGGAGGTTAGGTTGGGGTAGGAAGAAGCATAATAAATTGCAATTTAGAAATAACAATCAAATTATGTCGGGCCATAAGAGCCTTGTGTAAGATTGGGGGGGGCGGGTTATCTAAGGAGAATAATGCAATAACATCTAGTTTTAGAATGACTGGCTTTAGTGTAGAGTGAACTTAGATGGGAGCAAGGCTGGAGGCAAGGAGGCCACTGGAGAGGCCACTACAGGTGAGGGAAACTGATGGTTCAGACTGGAATGTGGTTCGTGGGAATGGAAAGAAAGATATTTAGGAGAAATTTAAGGTAGACTTCCTGAGTTAACACATTCCTGAAATAATGACCTAACAACATTCTTTGTGATCTAATTAAGTTCTCTTCCTTCTCAAAGATGGCCAAATGTGGCTAGTAATTGACTCTAAATGTTGTCATTAGATAGTTCAAAGCAGTTATATCATTAAAAGTTATGACACTGGTCAGACAGTAACCACTGACAATCAGGTTTATTAATTATAATTGTAGCATTTGAACCATTTACTCAGTACCTTTTATGTTCTGGTCTTAGTGCTAAGTGTTTTACATGGTTTATCTTATTTGACACTCACAGCAGCCTTACAAGTGGATAGTATTGTTATCTCCATTTTCCAGGTGGAAACTGGGACTTAGAGATATTACACAGCTTATAAATTTGGTAAACCTGTTTTTAAAACCTAGCGACTTGTTACTGGTACAGCTGGGATTCGAACCCAGATCTCTCTTACACTATTACTGCACTAAGATTTCTGTTTTTATTAGGGTTAATTTCTAATATGCTGTACAACTTCTCATTAGCCCAGTCTTGCATATAATCACATTTCTGCATAAACCGAGATAAGCTACACTTTGAGTGTACACAGAGCAAAAAATATTGACTACTTGCTTTTTTTTCTTTCTAATTAGTTAGAGTAAAGCAAGTGTGAAGGGGAGTTGAGTGGTGAGGCATTTTGAGGAGGCAGTCAGATATATATTTTTTCTAATTATGTTTTTCCAAGCCAGTAATTTCTTTGAAAAGGAATGTTTTTAAGTGTTTCTTTACCATGTTGGGCCCCTAAATACAGAGAAGTAAGATTAGATATTTTATGTCATCGGAGGTGACAAAGCCCCAAGAAACTCACAGCTGAATGCAGTGGTAGAAGCATTGGAGAAGAGAGACTACATGACTTTAACCAGGACCACCCAGAGAGCCAGAATTAGAACCGAGTTCTAGACCTCCAGCTCTAGGCTGTCTATTACGTGACTCCGAGAACAGTTCAGCTGTCAAGGAAGCATTGTCGTCTCTTAGGGACATTTTCAGAAGTGTGTCCGTGGCATCTCTAGCAAAATTAGTCGTCTTCATTTTAAGAAAAACCGGTAAATAAAAGAAAAAAGTAATGCAAGTGAATAAATACAGTCCCTTTGAATGAGAAGCATACTTTTCTACTTATGAAATAATATAATGAAAATATTTTTGTTTCTACAACTTTGTTCTAAACACTTTGGATAGCATCAGCTCCTGAGAGATAACCGAGCTGAAAGAGGACACAAGAAAAACTGTTCTGTGAAAACAGCCAGCAGGTAAGCGATTTAAAATCACCTTTTTTCCTGATCACTGACTCGTGTAATTTCTTTTTCCATACCAGTATGAACAGTGGTTTAGTCACTAAGTAGGGTCCTACTCTTGCAGCCTCATGAACTGTAGCCCGCCAGGCTCCTCTGTCCATGGGATTCTCCAGGCGAGAATACTGGAGTGGCTTGCCATTTCCTTCTCCAGGGGATCTTCCCCACCCAGGGATCAAACCCAGGTCTCCTGCATTACAGGCAGATTCTTTACCCGCTGAGCCAGCGGGGAATCCAGTATGAATATGATGAGTTATAGTTAGGGTGCCTTTGGCTCTGAAGTGTCAGCGTTATTTTATGCTTCCTTTATCAGAATCTACTTCAGGATTACTAGTAATGAATAGAAGTATATCATTTTATTTGTAGTTTTTTAAAGGTGATGAAAAATAATAAAGAATGCATTTTTAGAAGAAAATCTCTGTTCATAATCCATAACTTATGAATTTTAGTTAAGGATTAGGAATAATTATTTTTAATTATAAAAAACAGAATTAATCTTCTCCCCAAAACTTAAATGGTTTTGTGAAAGAGCAACATGTATATTTATTCTAATAATATGTAAATAAGTATATAGAAAATACAGTCTTTTTTAAAAGTGCTTAGAGTTACATTGCTTAGTCAATGCTATACTTTTTTTTCATGTTAGAAAGAAGTGCCCCCAGTTTATTGTTTTAGACAGCACATTTGCAAATTTTGCATGTGGTGTTTCTAAAGACTTCATTTTTCCTTTGGTGAAAATAGCTATCAGAATATTGATCAGAACGACTGCCCTAAGATTTACACTAACCCAACTTTTAACAAGATAACTGACCTTGGCAGCCCTCCCTCTGTCTCACTGTTAGGGTGCTTGCCTCTGTTTTTAACACTCCTAAGCAAGCTGTGTAACTTCCAAGTATCATGTTGTACAAACTAACCCTGACTGAGAACGCACTAGGTATCTGCAGAAGCTAACATAAATCCTATTTAGACAGTCAAAAACTGTCACACATAATAAGTTGACTGTCAGGTCAGTGATAGTCAACATAAAACTAATATAGTCACCCCTAAGAAGGTCAGATCCTAAAATTATAAAGTATGGATTAAAGAAATTTTAGACAGATTATAAATAACTATGGATGACATGTTTATAGAAATAAAATAAGCAAGCAACAGATCACTGTTAGAATTGTTCAAGCAGAATTGAATCAAAAGCATATAATTATTAGAAATGAGAAGTGTGATTGTGAAATGGAGATACAGCTGAAGAAGTAGGCTAGAATGTAGCATAAAAATATTGAATAAGGTGATGGAAAAATGAAAGAGTGGTTAAGAGACACAGAAAAGGTCTAAGATATATTTGATCAGAGGTTTTGATGGAGAGTATAGAAAGGCTGAAAAAAAACATGATGTTGAAGAGATGTTGGCTGAGAATTCCCGTAATAGCTAAAAGTTATAAATCTATACAGAAGTCACAATGAATACCAGCTAGAATAAACAAAAAGAAATCCACATCTACTAACATACTGTACTACTCCAAAAACAAAGAGATCTTAAAAGAATCCAGAGATAAGAGATGAATTACTACAAAGGAATGTACATCATCAGATTTCTGAGTATCAACAATGATACCAAAAACAGTGGACAAGTCTTCAGGGTACTGGGTGAAAATACATTGTCAGCCTAGAACTATGTGCCTAGAAAAAAAAAAAATCTTTCATATATGAAGATGAAGCAAAAAGTTTAGGATTTTCAAACACTAAGAAAGTTTCCTCCTGACACTTGCTAGAAGACTTTTTAAAAGATGTATTTCAAGAGAATGTTCTCCCCAGAAAGTCTAAGATGAAAAAATGAATACTAAGCCAATAAACGGTTAAAGATTTCAGTAAATTTAAACAACTATTGTTTATATAAATTGATAATTATAATGTGTAATTCATAAGGCTTTTCAAAAGACAATCTAAGATAATGGAAAATAACAGCACATTAGATTGACAATGCTGATGATGATAAAGTCCAACTTAAAGTCTTTGAATTGTTTGGGAATGTTTACTTCATTGGTCAGTTAAGATTATATTAAGTATTCATGGCAAAATATCATAAATAACCACTAAATTAAAAAAAATAGAATATGTAAATTCCAAGCTGGTTGGCAGGGGTGGAGTTGAATGGAATAAAATATTACTCCCCCCAAAAAAAAATCCATTTAAAAAGTCAAGAAGGAAAAAAAGCATAGATAAAATGGGACACAGAGGAAAACAAAAATTGAAAACTGAATCAAAACCATGTATTAGTCACTATGGTAAATATTTATGGATTAAATTTGTTTGTTAAAAGCAGAGCTAAGCAGATTTGGTTTTTCTTTTAAAGTGCAACTATATGTTCTTTACAAGAGACACACCTAAAATAATGCCAAAAGAAAGTTGGAAAACTAAAAAAGCATGTATCAGATATACTGTAAAAGAGAGCTCTCATAACAAACCAACCGACTTGACAATGAAAGCCTTAACAAGCTTAAGAAAATCATTATTTAATGATAAAAGGTTCAACTTAACCAAAAAGATGATTTTATTATTTTGTATATTAAAATAGCTGCAAAATATATAAAGCAAATATTAATATCAATGAATGGAGAAACTCACTAACCCACCATCTTGGCGCTCCCACTTCAGTAGAGCATTCATATTACTGATAGCTTAAGCCATCAGAAAATTTGCATAACAAATGATTAACAAACTTAATGTTATTATATAACCCCTTTCACCCACATACATTCTTCTCAAAGACACATATGATATTTTCAAAAATTTACCACTTTCCAGGCCAAAGCTACTACCAACAAATTTTAATGAATATGTGTCATAAAGAACATATTCTTTAACTTGAATATGATTAAGGAAAATCTTTAAGAAAAAGATAATTTCTTTAAAGTTTGAAATTAAAAATACATTTTAAAATAACTCATTTCAAAAAAATCATAATTATCATTATGATATCATACCTTAACTTGTGGGTGCATTAAGATGGTAGATAGAGGAAACTTGACTACTTGAAAGTTTTATATTAGAAATTTGGTCCCAGTTCCTGTTACAAGTTCAAGATTCTGAATTATAAGATTACTACTTCTAAACTATAAGATGCCTGCTTCTGTCTTCTAAGATCAACCCAGCAGGTATTTAGAAAGAGAAAATAAGCAGAAATCTACAAGAAATTTCCAGTATTAAGGTAACCATGGATGTGTGCTAAGTCGCTTCAGTCATGTCTCTTTGCGACCCCATGGACTATAGCCCGCCCAGGCTCCTCTGTCCTTGGAATTCTCCAGGCAAGAATATTGGAGTGGGTTGCCATTTCCTCCTCAGGGGATCTTCCCGACCCAGGGATCGAACCCATGTCTCCTAGGTCTGCTGCACTGGCAGGCAGGTTCTTTGCCACTAGTGCCACCTGGGAAGCCAGGAGGGGGATGATATTTTGAACTTGTGTTTTTGAGATGAGGATACACAAAATGTGCATGTGTGCTCTGACGTGAGGCAAGAGGCAGTTCAGCCTGAGTGAGGAAAGAAGGAGATGTGAGCAGAACCTTTGGAGTTCTTTCATATCATGGGCCATGGCCAAGGGATATATGCCACCCGCCCCTTACAGAAAGACTCAGATCTCTGGTCCAAGCGTTTTCAGGGATAAAGTCAGGGCAGCTCACAGTGCTGTTTTTGTGAGGAGCTGGGAAAGCTTGATGGGACCAGATGACAAATTATCGTGTCTTCACTCGGCCCCCTGTAAACTGCAGGGCTAGAGGATTACAGTTCTCATTTTCTCTGAGAATGAGGAAGGGGAATGTTTTTCTGACAGAGGAATTATTTTGTGGAGAAGACTGTGGTGATTGTGGTTTTCTGGTGGTTGGACCTCTGTACTCTTAAGTCAGGTTCATTCACCTCCAATTCCTGAACTGCTTTGGACTGACACAGAAGACTGGCCTTTGCCTATAGCATTGCGTCACAGAATCAGTTAATAAGACATTTGAGGAGAAAACAGCCTTTCGAAAGTAATAACAACAACAACAATATATTGGACTACAGACTCCAGCAGAAATCGGAAATGTTAGGACAAGTCAAAAAATTTTTGATTAGAGTTATCAATATTAACTAAAGGAGATAAAGGAAGAAAATAACAATATAAAGCAAGAAATACAACACATAATTAAGAACCAAATATTTAAGTCTGTTTCAGTTTTTTCCTCAGCATTATTTTAAGAGTTTTCATTGTATAGGTGTTACACATATTTTATCAGATTTATCCCTAAGCATTTTACCATATTTTTTGGTGTATGAAAATGTTGCTGAGAGGAATGTTAAAAGGTCTCTGTAACTGGAGAGATATACCTTGTTCATGAGTCAAAAGACTCAATATTCTTAAGCTGTCAGTTCTCCAAAAATTTATCTACAGATTCACTATAGCCCAAACAAAAATCCCATGAGGCTATTTTATAGAAATTGACAAGCAAATGCTAAAATTTGTATGAAAAAGGAGAGGACTTAAATAGCCAAACTTTAACACTACCTGATGTCAGGATTTAAGTACAAAGCCGTAGGAATCAAGAAAATGTGGTAGTGGTGCAAAGACAGAAAAATAGATCAAAGAAATATACCCATGTATATTACATACAGTTGGTTCTTGACAAAATACAGTTACTTTAATGGGGGGGGGGGGGGACTAGTTTCAACAAATGTCACTGGAAAAACTGAGTATCCATTTGCAAAAGAAAAAGATGATGAACTCTAGTCTATACCTCATACCATAGAGCAAACTAATTTATAGTGACTAAAAGTGGATCTGTTGTTACACAGCGTGAGATGAGGGGCAGGGAGGTACTGGAGGAAAGGATTACAAAGGGGTGTTAAGAAACTGTTGGGGTGATGGGTATCTGCATTATCTTGATTATGGTGAAGGTTTCACATGTATATACGTATGACAAAACTTGGGAAATTACA